TTTGCCAAACGTCAGCGAAGAATCCTTCGCAATTAATTTAGCGGTTTCGGTGTTGATCTTCTCGTGGCAGTTGCGCTCGATCAGTTCTTTGAGTTTTTCATTGAGAATGGCGCAGGCGCCAGGGAGGCTCACGAATTCACGGACGTCTCCGATGTCGGAGCAGGAACTGGTCCATTTGTCTACGTCCTGCAAGTTTAGTGGGAGTACCATTTTATTGTTACAAAGAAAAAAATTACTGGTGAAAACTGACATTCAAACTTAAGTTTGAACAAACTTAAGTTCGCCCAGTGGAATGGAGAAACGGCCCTCCCTCCCTCTCTCCCCCCGCACCCCCCTCTCTCCCTCCCTCCCTCCCTCCCCCCGCACCCCCCTCCCTCCCTCCCACCCTTTCCTGTGCGAAGAGAGCGCGTTTAGCCGCCCCGGGGCCCAAAAATCAAATGTGTGACGTGACCGCGTTCTTCTCTCATGCAGGGATTCGGCCAACCTATCGGACGCGCTGCAGCACGCGGCGCACGGCGCGCACGCGCTGCCTCCTCTCTGGCCTCGCTCGGCGCGCCGCCACCGTCGGCACTTGCGCTGCTCGCGCCGCAGCAGGGCATCTCGATGGAGTATGGCCAACTCGACCTCAAGGCGCGGCAGCTCGCCACCGGCCTCGAGGACCTTGGGTACGCGGCTGGCAGCGTCATCATCTCGGACTTTCCAAACACGGCGGAGAATCTCCTCCTGCAGTGCGCGCTCGCTCATGTCGGGGCCGCGATCGCCACGCCTCCAAAGGACGAGGCGGCGATGGCGGCTCTATGCGCGGCGCACGACGTGCGAGGCGTCGTCACGGTGGACGGCATGGCGCCAACAGCGGGTCCGGCCAAGGCCTTACCGACCGTCTACCTGGAGCTCGAGGAGGGCCTGCGCCCCGCCACGCGTGGCGCCGTCGCCTTTGCCGAGCTCCTCGAGCACTGCCCGCCGCGTGGCGGCGCTCCCGCGGCGACGCCCGAGAGCCTCGTCGGCGTCTTCGGCACCGCGCCGCTCTCTCACGCAGCCGCAGCGGATCTCGGCGCGGACGCCGCCTCGACGCTTGGCCTCAGCGCCGCGGACCGTGTCTGCTGCTCCGTCACGCTCATGCACGCCTTCGGGGTGCAGGCCTGCGCCGCCGCATTCGGAGCGGGCGCCGCGGTCGTCCTGCCGGCGGTCGGCGGCATCCGCGGCTGCGGCGACCCGAGCCAGCGCGCGAGCGTTACCGCCGACGTGCTCGCAACCAGCGGCGCGACGGTGCTCTTCGGTGACACGCACACGCTGCGGGCGATGGCGGCGGCGCCTGCGCCGGCGGCGATGCTCGCGCTGAGGACGGGAGTAATCAAGATTGGGTCGGGGAGCAGCTTCTTGCCAGGCGTGCGCGAGGCGCCCGCGCCAAAGGGCGGCGAGCCGCTGCCACTCGAGTATGCAGGCGTCGCGATGCACGCGTTTGGAAAGGCAAAGTGAGCGAGCGGCAGGCGCGCCGGCCGAGAGGACCATGGCGCATGGGAGCGCTCGAGCG